ACCAGCGGAACTTTGTTTTTTTTTTTTTTTTCCAACTGTAAAAGATTAAAACATCAAATATAAGATCAAGGGAAATGGACCAATCATATGGTCCAATCTTAGTCGTGAAAAGAACTTGGACCTGAAGAGAAGACTTCTGGGGACTTGAAAGTAAGCTCTATGAAAAATTGATCGACCCAAGGTAATGTCCGTCTTCTTCTTTGAGTGTGGTGTCTTGGTTCCTTGTGATACCGGAACTGATACAGCCATGACTGACCAGGAGAATACATGTTGCTGATGTGCTGAGGAAAGTGACATGGAAGGATGGAAGGCACAGAGGCCCCCAAAATTTGCTGAACAATTAAACCAATCTGGAACATCTGTTCCTCTATATCACTGGTTATACAATAAAATATTGGGCTGGCTCCATAACCCAGCAGTTAAATGCTGGCGTAGAAAGCCAGATGCCCCAATGTCCTCACTCTACAGAGGAAATTTAAGAACTCCAACACATAGAAATAGAGTAATTTAGATGCCAGAAGCTGCTTAAAGGGACAACAAATGGGGGATTTATAAAAAAATATGTATTGGTGTAAGAACACATGTGTATATGTGGAAAAAAACTATGGGACAATGTGCCATAACACAGTGAAATATATGGACAACTTAATATATATTCCAAAAAATAGTGGACCTGTTATCAAATGTGCACAACATAATGTAATGTTCAATGTTGTAAAAGATGACTATGAGTATGTCGTTGATTTTTATTATCGTACATTGTATGCTTGCTTTTAAAAAGCCATACCAAGATATACATCAAATATATATGAAAACCAGAAATCATTAAAAGAAAGCCCAATCCCACATGGCAGATCAGAGTTGAATCCAAGCTCTGATGGCTTGAAAAACTCACTGGACAAGTGTACCTGTGTGCCCCAAATCCTGGCGAGATGGATAAATGGAGGAAAGGGGATTGTGGCATGATCAAGCCCCACTGAGGAGATTTGTCTCTCTTTCACTCTCTTTCATGTGTGTGCATGTGCATGCATCAGCACACATGTTCACATGCCCTCTGGCTGTTCTTTTTATTTTATTTCATTCTACTTTGGTCTGCTGTTACTTGCAACCAAAGGATGCTAACTGATACACCTGTGCAGGTATCAAAACATAGTCCCCAAATTATTTGACATTTCTTCCAAAGAGAAGTAGATTCTTTGTCCCTTCCCCTTGAGTCTTAGTGGGCTGTGACTGCTTCATTGATTAAAGCATGGTGGAAGTGCTGCTTCATTACTTGTGAGACTAGGTCATAAATGATAATCTGGCTTCTGCCATGCTCAGTGGATCACTCACTGCTGGTGCCTTGGGCTGCCCTGTAAAGTGTGCAGGTACCCTAAGGCTGCCATGATGGCAGGAAGTCAAGCAACTTGGTGGGGTTGTGATGCTCCATTTGGCAGTATCCCAGCTCAGATATCAGATATGTAAATGAACAAGTCTTCACATGATTCTGACCCCTCCTGTCAAGTTTCCCTGAGTGTCTGAATTTCCCAGCTGAGGTCCCAGACATCATAGAGCAGGGACAAGTTATCTGTGCTGTGTTCTGTTCAAATCTCTCACCAACAGAACCCATGAGTATAATACAATAAAATAAATAAGTTTCTAAATTCTGGGGTAGCTTATTACGTAGAAATGGTACCTGGAACAGGACTTTTTCATCTCACTTTATATTTACCATGAGTTACCACATAATGTAATCTCAACAGATGATGTGTGACCCGCTTTAAGATGAGTTACCTTTGGGGTTTGACTCATCAAGACACAGAATCAGTTCTTTAAGGAAGTATGTTCAGTGCTCACATCTCATCAAGGAAATGTTGGAATTGCTAATAGGATAAGAACTTTGGCTTAAAGAAAATCTTGAAAAAGGATATGCATTATCTGTGAATTACAATTGCAACTCCTATGCAGCAACCTTGCATGACCCACAACTTTGAAGAACCAGCAACAAACTGCACATTATCAGACAAAAAGCACTATTTGGTTCTATTTAAGCTCATAAAATGAGAACAAGGGGGACCAGTAGTTAGCGTAATGGCTATGTTGCTGAACTCCCATGTAGTCGACCGCGGTTCGCATCCCAGCTTAAAACTCACGCTGGGCACATGTGCATGCGTGCCCAAGATCCTGAGGGGAGAATGGAGGAGAAGGGATTGTGGCGTGGCCATCCCCTCTGGGGGGTGATTTCTCGCTTTCTGTCTCTCTGTCTCTGTCTGTCTGTCTGGCGAGTGCACGTGCCCTATAGCAAAAACCTCTCCAAAAAAAAAAAATGAGAACAAGGAATGGAAGCAAAGATTCAAAAGTTCAAGAGTTCAGTTAACACTTTGGGGCCCTGCATAAGTTTCTTCACCTCTCTTGGCTCCAGTTTTACTTGTAAAATAAAAACAGTTGGACTAGAAACCTTCCAACTTTTTTTTTTTTTTGGAGAGGTTTTTACTATAGGGTGCGTGCGCTCACCAGACAGACAGAGACAGAGAAACAGAAAGTGAGAAATCATCCCCTGGGGGGATGGTCACACCACAATCCCTTCTCCATTCTCCTCTCGGGATCTTGGGCACGCACGCACATGTGCCCAGCATGAGTTTTAAGCCACCGGGTCCAGGATGCCAACCATGGTCGACTACATGGGAGTCCAGCGACATAGCCATTACGCTAACTGCTGGTCCTGAAACCTTCCAACTTTGATGTTGGGGAGCAAAATAGAAAACTGATTGTGGTAGGCTGAATAATATCTCCCCCCAAGATGTCCATATCTGAATCCCCAGAACCTGTGAATATGTTATTTTACACGACAAAAGACACTTTGAAGATGTGACTAAGTAATGCTATGGTTTGACTGTGTCCCCCCAAACTCATTTATTGAGAGACTGACAGGTGGCATGGTGGTTAAGGTGTTGAACTCCCACATGGCCCACCATGGCTCGAATCCTGGACCTGGCAGCTTGCTTTCTCACTTTGTCTCTCCTTCTCTCTGGTAAAATTAAGACTTGGGGCCAGCAGGTGGCATGTTGGTTAGGGGCTCTGGACTTTCACATGGCTGACAGTGGTTCGAGTCCTGGACCTGGCAGCTTGCTTTCTCACTTTTCCCCTCCTTCTCTCTCACTCTGTCCCTCTCTGGTCAAATTAAAATAAATAAAGTTAAATAAAATAATCCTTTAAAAAACCCTCATAGGTTGAAAATTGGCTGCCAATAAAATGGGATTAAGAAGGTGGAAGTTTATTTTAACTATGGTATTGAAAGGTGGAACTTTGGGGAGGAGATTAGGTCTGAAGTCATTCAGGGAGAGGCCCCCAGGATTGAATCCTGGTGGCTTTATAATGAGACAGAGACAGAAATACAGACACATGGATACAGATACATGTGATCCTGCCCTGCTCTGTCTTGCTGGATGATCCATCAGCAACAAGACCTTCATCAGATATGGCCTCTGGGCCTTGAGTCTCCAAAATACGAGGGGAATTAATCTTTATTCTTACAAATCACCCAGTTTCAGGTATTTGCTGTTATTAGCAACAGAATACACTACTGGAATAGTTATGGAGAAGATGAGAGTTAGGAGAAGATGAGAGTCATACGCAGGAGACATGAGTATGGAGTAGAAGTCAGAGAGGAGAGAAGATGCCATTGGTTTTAAAGGTGGAGGAAGGATTATGAACCAAGGAATAAAGGCAGTCTCTAGAAGCTGCAGACAGTCAGGGAACAAAATCTTCTCTAGAGCCTCTAGAAGAAACACAACCTTATGGATCCATTTTAGACTTCTGACTTCTCAAACTATAAGATGTTTGTGCTTTTTAATTCTCATAATTTGTAGTAATTTATTACAGGAAATACAACTTATGGTTAAGAACATGGGCTCTGTGGGACCAGCAGATGGCATAGCAGTTACGTCGCTGGACTCCCACATAGCCAACTGCAGTTTGAGTCTCAGACCCAGTGGCTTCAAAATCATGCCAGGCACATGTGTGGGCTTGCCCAAGATGCCAGGAGGAGAATGGAGGAGAAGGAATTGTGGTGTGGACATCCTCCCCAGGGGGTGATTTCTCACTTTCCCTCTGACTGGACTCTGTCTCTCTCTCTCTCCAGCGAGCACATGTATCCTAAGGCAAAAATCCTCTTAAAAGCAGTAACAACAACAACAAAACACTGGCTATGCCAATAGACTACCTGGGTTTGAGTCTCTCTTACCACTTACTGGATATATGACCTGGGACAAGTTATTTAAATTCTCTGTATCTCAGTTTCATCTTGAAAAAGGGAGGTGCTAGCAGAACCAAACCTTGCGGGTTATTGTGAGGTGTTGAGGAAATTCTTAGGATCATGTAGGATGTAGTGATTTTAAATAAACATAGCCATTGCTTTTCAAAGACTGATCATTTAATTTGGGATATTTGTTCTTTCTCTCTCGCAAGTCATATATTTCATGGAGGAAGCAAGGTGTCTGAACATCTACTTTAGGAGTTTTGCATGTAGCACCTGCAGCATTTGCTCCTTACAATATGCATGAAATAGGCATGATTATAAGTTTTCATATGCAAAAACTGAAGCTGTGGAGGTTATTTTTTCCAAATAGTATAGGTGGTAGGTGGACAAATCAAAGAGGCTTGTTTACCATTTCATTAACTACCCCTATTTGCTGGACAGTGAAGAGTTAACAAATATGTGCAAATAGCCAGAGCAGTGGGCACTCAACCAACAGTGCAGAATCTAGACAGATTGACACTAGGTCACCCCATCTGATCCACACTGGCACCATTCCCAGTTCTTTAAAATCCAGCTCCAATTTCCAGAAAAGTCTGGGGCAGTGAAGAGGCTCCTGGCTTGAAGTACATTCATTGCGGCAGGGATTCCCCCTCCACTCTAAGTGACGTCTCCAGTCACCCGGAGCCCTCCTCATGTTCCAGGAAGGTTGGGCCACTGCGACACAAAGGCGGGGCCTACGTGGGGTAAGGCCCCAGGTCATAAAAGGGGGCGGGGCCTCCCCGGAGGCCAGTGCGCGGCCGCGGAACTCGACCCGCGCGTCGCTCCGCCCCCAGGGAGAGTCGGCGCCACCATGGAGGAGTACCATCGCCACTGCGACGAGGTACCGCCCCTCGGGAGTGCCCCCCCGTTCCCGCCCTCCTCGGTGGGGAGTCCCGACCGGGGTCGTCCCCGGCCGCTGAGCCGCGGGAAGAGTTGGGGTGCGGCGATCTGCTAGTCGGAGTTCTCTCGATGGGGTTAGGGATCCGCCCTGCCGGTCCCTGTCCCCGACCCTGAGGTCCTGAGGGTGGGCTGAGAGTCAGGGTGTCAGGGGCGCCTAGGAGAGCTTCAGTTCTGCGGTGGGGTCGGGGCTGGCAGGTGGGGTGAGGCCTGACTTGGGGTGAGTGTGGGGTGACGGGCACCGCCTGTCTGCCAGGCGGGCCTTGGAAACCGGTCTTTCCGCTCTTTCCTCCGCCCCTTGGAGTCCTCAGCGCAGGTGCCACAGCCTGGTGTTTTGGGGCCCTGGTGTCAGGGCAGCTCCAGCTGCTGGGAACTCTCACTTGGGTGGGCTGGAAAGAGGTGCTTCATGGGTTTTGAGACCTTGTTTACTGACTCAGGCTTCCCTAATCCTCACCAGAACCCCACGATGTCAGTTGTTACCTTCCTGTTACTGATGGGGAGTCGGACTTTTCATGGCGGCCAAGTGACTTGCCCCAAGTTAGAATTGCCAGGAATGACAGATGCTCGATTTGAACCCAGGCCTTTTACTCTACAGCTACAGCTCTTCACTTTAGCCATCAGGAGAACGGGGCCTGTTGAAGCCCGGCATAACTTGTGACAGTTTGCAAGGGCAGAATAGACAAAGACGTTTTCTGTCCTGTGACAGCCACCAGCCAATAGTGCAGGAAAAGAAAATCAGGCGTTTGGTGTATTATTAATAGATCTCAGAAGGGGCTTCTGGTCCAGTAGGAATCTTTAGGATGTGGGCTTCTGCAGAAGCTAAACCACAGTAAAGTAAGTTAGTTCTGTGATGCAGATAGCACAGATACTTAACAGGCCAAAGGTAAAGTAGTCTAATGTCAGAAATCAAGATTTAAGGCAGGAGAAATTCCATGGCTGGCTCCTTTAGGCATATCCCCTCCAACAGGTGCTCATCTCCTGACTCCTGAGAGAGTTCTTCCCTGAAGTACTTTCTAAACTTATTTAAAAAGAAAGTTAACATGTGTTGCCTTGGCCACATCATTCGACTCGTTGGCCATTTCTGAAAGTAGATCAGGACCTTATTTTAAAGTCTATTTCATTTTTAATAGAATCAAAATTTGAGGCTGCTTTTCACAATACTCCTAAATATTTAGGTGAATATTTTATTCTTTTGTTGTTGGGGAATTCTGTAGGATATTTACCTAAGTTGAGAAGTTTAAAAGAAACAATCAAGATCGTGCGTCTCAGAATTTCTTTGTTTGAATTAATTTTAAGTTGTATAATGGCTTTTTACAAACATGCTGATGTCATAAACCACCTAAAATGTCTCTGGAAACAAATCATGCACTACCTGAAGCGCCTTGGTTTAGATTTCAGTCTTATCACATAACCTAGTTCTGTACTCTACAACACTTGACTGTCCTTGGTAGTTGCTGTTAATTCGGGATTCTAACAAGCTACTCCAAAGAAAGACTATGTTGTCAGACCAATGTACAGTATTAAAGTGTTGTTAATTTTGAATGATCAAATACTTTCATAATGTTTTTTAAAAAGCCACATTTTTGCTTAGCATAAGTGAAAAACAAAACTACAAATACTCGAGTAGGTATTCTTTTTCTTATGAACCAGTTTATTCTCTCACTGAGCTGAAACTATTTCCTATATTCTAATAACCATACATACATCTATATTGCCTCCTCCTGTTTATTTATTGAGCTTTACAATACATTGATCCCCAGTTTTCATCAGAATCACTAGTATAAAACACTTTTTGAAAAGTTGTAGTTGCCCAGGCTTATGACCCAGACCAAGTGAAATAGGATCTCCAGGGAGATGGGGGAACCATCCTGTATTTGTAAGTGCTTGGAGTGGAAATGACAGCTTGAGTAGACCTGGTGCGCCATATCACTATGTTCTCCTGTCACTAACACCTGCCTAGGCTAGCCTGTATAATGGCTTTTTACAAACATGCTGATGTCATAAACCACCTAAAATGTCTCTGGAAACAAATCATGCACTACCTGAAGCGCCTTGGTTTAGATTTCAGTCTTATCACATAACCTAGTTCTGTACTCTACAACACTTGACTGTCCTTGGTAGTTGCTGTTAATTCGGGATTCTAACAAGCTACTCCAAAGAAAGACTATGTTGTCAGACCAATGTATAATATTAAAGTGTTGTTAATTTTGAATGATCAAATACTTTCATAATGTTTTTTAAAAAGCCACATTTTTGCTTAGCATAAGTGAAAAACAAAACTACAAATACTCGAGTAGGTATTCTTTTTCTTATGAACCAGTTTATTCTCTCACTGAGCTGAAACTATTTCCTATATTCTAATAACCATACATACATCTATATTGCCTCCTCCTGTTTATTTATTGAGCTTTACAATACATTGATCCCCAGTTTTCATCAGAATCACTAGTATAAAACACTTTTTGAAAAGTTGTAGTTGCCCAGGCTTATGACCCAGACCAAGTGAAATAGGATCTCCAGGGAGATGGGGGAACCATCCTGTATTTGTAAGTGCTTGGAGTGGAAATGACAGCTTGAGTAGACCTGGTGCGCCATATCACTATGTTCTCCTGTCACTAACACCTGCCTAGGCTAGCCTAGGGTATTCTGTGTCTGTCGTCATAAAAGGAAGTCTGGGCTGAAAGCAGCTTTATCTTTTGTTTTCCTTTTAGGTTGGCTTCAATGCTGATGAGGCCCATAATATTGTCAAAGAGGTGAGTTACACATTTTGTACAACTATTGGATTGTTGGAAAAGTCATGATGCATTTTTGCATAGAAAAAATAAGTCATGACTTGCCCGACAACCTAAAAGAAGCTTGTAGCTTTGATGGGAATATTTTTAAAAAGGGGGGAGGAATAAAGATATGATAGTAGAGAAGGGTTAGTGTAGATACCAAAGACTGTAAGGGAGGGGAGTGGATAATCAATGGAGAGTGAATGGTGGAGGGGAGTGGGAGGGGCAAAGGGAAGAAACATTAACAGACAAAAGAATGTAAAGTTCTCTGCTGAAAAACAAAAGATCTGGGTTCACCTGGTGGCTTGGTGGTTAGGTCCCTGGACTCCCACATGGTCAAACCTTCTTCAAGTCAAACCTGATGGTTTGTGTTTTTCACTTTCCCTTTCTTTCTCTCTCTCTCTGGTGAGCGCATGTGCCCTACAGCAAATTTTAAATAATAAATATAAATAAATAAATGTTCAAAAGAAAGAAAAAATCTGTAATTTCTGCTTTGTAAAAATAGATAAAAATGTTTTAACTTTCAATACAAAGTTAGAAGCCTACTGTTAAAACAATATTTTAAAATATTTATTCACTGGGACCAGCGGTTAGTATAGTGGCTATGTCACTGGACTCCCATGTAGCTGACCACAGTTCCAGTCTCAGACCCGGTGGCTTAAACTCATGCCAGGCACGTGTGCGTGCGTGCCCAAGATCCCGAGAGGAGAATGGAGGAGAAGGGATTGCAGCGTGGCCATCCCCCCTAAGGATTTCTCGCTTTCTGTCTCTGTCTGTCTGGCGAGCACACACATCCTATAGCAAAACCTCTCCAAAAAAAAAAAAAAATTATTTACTAACTCTTTATAAGACTACTTGTATCTTTTATTGCATGATGTCATGTATCTTGGAGTTTACTCTAAAAGAGATACATGAGGACTTTATTAATCTCAAAAACTATTTTGCTATTTTCTAAAACTGATGCCCTGTTTTTGAATAAACGAACTTTTATTCCAGTGGGCCAAACATCATTTCAAGTTTTAATTCAATAAAAGTGCGCGCGCGCGCGCGCGTGTGTGTGTGTGTGTGCATGCACAGACAATGAAACTTCAGAAAGTTAATGGAAAACTGGAATTAAATTATGACTTTGATACAAAAAAAATTTGGAATCATGCATAATTTTTTCATGGCATGACACACATATATATATATATATATACACTTTTGTATTCTAAAGTATAGATATAATATATTATGTATTATAGTATGTCAAGAGCCTAGAAATATTTGCCTTTGGACATTATATGCCTCTTTTTACCCAATATCAATGGGAAAATAATCACTTAGCACCATTTAGACACACTGATATGAAAACAAATCAAAATCTTAAGAAAAAGATCTGAAACATGACGTTTTCCTGTTAGGCAAATAGAAAAGAAGTTGTCTTTGGGAAACAGTCCTGGTAGAGGACTGTAATTATTGTGGGGATGTCACATACACTATGGGAAAGGGATTTGGGATCACTAATACTGTGTCATCTTTAACTGCCAATTCTTGAAAATCTTACCATATTGTAACATAGTAGTTCAGAATCATGCATTAGATTCTGATGTAGCCCCAAAGCAATGAATAAAAACAGAATGCCACTGTTTTTAATACCTCAACAATGTAAAAGCACAAATGAGGGAATTTGGGAGGTGGAAGGGGAAGTAGAGATAATGAGAAAGATCAGAATGATCATCTCATTTTTCAAAATGGAAAATAGAGACAGACTCTCCTTAGGCAGCAGAACATGAAATAAAGAATATGGGATCTCTGGGGTCCCTTTAAATTGTGCCTTCTTGAGGCCAGCAGGCAGCATGGTGCTTAAGGTGCTGGACTCCCATGCAGTCCACCACAGTTCGAGTCCTGGGCCCAGCAGCTTGAAACTCATATTGAACATGTGTACATGCATACTCTAAATTGCAAAAGGACAATTGAGGAGAATGGATTGCGATTGCAGCATGGCTCTCCTTCTGGGGGTGATTTCCTGTTTCTTTGTCTCTCCAGTGAGCACACGCATCCTAAAGCAAAAGTCTCTCTAAAAAATATAAATAAATTGTGCCTTCTTCCTTATCCAAGTTCTGAGCCAAATGTAAAAACAAGAGAGTCGATAGAAAAAGAACAAATTACCATCTTTGTTATTGATAAAAACTACAGCTTGTTTTGCTCACTTCCCTATCACTTCAGAACTTGAAAGAGGCATCTGAAGGAAAGTTTGAGTCAGCAGAGAGAAACACTTGCCCAGGCTGGTGCCTTTTATTGGTCTGGGTGGAGAGGGAAGGAAAAACCACAAACCAAGTCCAAGATGTTTGAGAGTTTAGCTTTCCTAAACGAAAATGGTAGAATATTGGTTGTCTCCCACCAGCCATTCCACCTCCATGGGGAGGAATAACTGATGGAATAAGAGGCCAGAAATGTTAAGGAAAAATCCTCTGTGTACAAGGAAACATCAGGAGTGCAAAAGAAACATTCCAAACAGTGTAAATATATTGAAGTAAAAATAATGAATTCACCATATTGAGAGAAGAGGTAGGAGGAAAGTAGCAGGTGGTTTGAAGTATCTAAATGTTCTTCTATCATAGCAGCAGTTCTCTGGATATTGACTGTAATTCATAAGTCAAGAAATAGTAGTTTAAATTTATTTGCAGATACTTAAGTAACTGTTAGAAGAAATGAAAACAAACAATTGAGCACCGAAGGTGTTTCCTTGGGCAAATGGGACTGGCGATAGGAAAGGAGAGGATGGGGAAGGGACTTTTCATTATATGCTGTTTTCTTCCATTCATTTATTTTTATTTTTAAAAAAGAATTCTTTATTTAATGTTATTATTATTTTTTTAAATTTTACCAGAGAGGGAGAGAAAGGGAAAGTGAATAAGCAAGCCACCAGGTCTGACATTCGAACTGCAGTCTGTCATGTGGGAGTCCAGTGCCTTAGCCACCACACTACCTGCCAGCCCCTTCCATTGGATTTTTAAAACCACGTGTGTGTGTGTGTTACTTTGATAATGTATTACGTTGAATGAACCATGCTTTGTCAGCTGGAGATATACACACTTGGCAGTGGCTAGGTGGTGATAAAAGCACTAGAACGCACCTTCGAGCATCAGTTTTATCTTAAATATTTCTGAGAGTTAAGAAATATATGTAATTAAGTGGAAAATATTTTTAATAAAAGAAAACTGATACAAAAGCGAGCTTCACTTGAGTTTTTATATAAAATAGGAGACTTCAAAGAAATCTCGGGTTTGCCACAGGTTTACTCTGCATCACGTGTTTGTTTTCTTCCCTCCTCTCTTCCCATGAACCAACTCTCTTCTGCCATTGAAACATTTCCATTGAAGCATTGCAAAGACTTGCGACTGATCACTAGTTTAAAACATTTCAGCATTTCCTAGATGAAATAATAGGTGTGCATCAACAGTTATTTCTGTTCCCCTTATCTCTTACCTCTTACTAATCTTTTCTTCCAAGTCTTTGCTTTGAGCCTCTATGCTAATTTTTTTTCCCTGCTGAATTCGTTTTATTTATCATTAGTCATAGAATTTCCCACTCCTCAAAGAAACCCTCAAAGGAAAAGTAAGTTACAAATGAAATTAACTTGAAACTTAATCTAAAGTATTTTTGATTTTAGGATAAGCAGAGTGTATCAAAGTCAACATTGTTTCAACCATAAACATTTGAGTAACTGCTATGTGCCAATGTCCTGAGTTTGGTGCTGAGAAGAGAGAGCTGTTTAAGGATCTCATTGTCTAGTGGGCCTCCTGGTTAATGATAATCAATTAGGCTAAATGTTAGTTAACAGTAATTCGCAGGGCTGTTTACAGTGAGACTGAATCCACATGGTGTTTTCTGTTGTTTAGAGCAGAACTTGGAGTGGTCCTATCAGGTAATGTGAAAGAAAAGTTAATGGTTTAGGGGCCAGCAGGTGGTATGGTGGTTAGGGCACTGGATTCCCACGTGGTCAGGCATGGTTTGAGTCCCAGACCTGACAGCTTGAGTGCATGTGCAAGCATGCCCAAAATCCCTAGAGGAGAATGGAGGAGAAGGGATTGCAGTGTGGTCATCCCCCTGGGAGGTGATTTCTCTCTGGTAAGCACACATGCCCTATAGCATAAATCTCTCAAGAAAAAGAAAGAAAGATGAGTGCTTTTACTTTCTCATTAAGGAAAGGCAATCATTGAAGAAGAGGTTTGCCTGTAAGTCATCAGCTTGGTAATGATAAAGCCAGAATTATAACCCTGTTTCCATGACCCTTAAGCCACTCTCCCTTCTACTATGTCATGTTATTGAACTTTCTAGATTAGCTTGAGCCACTTTTCTTTCATCAATCTTTCTAAATTATTTAATTTCTCTTTACATTGTATCATTTGTGAAGATTTTATACTATCCAACTTAAGATTCCATATTTGTATCCTTATAACTCTTTTTTACAAGAATTATTTAATTTTATTTATTATTATTATTATTTTTAAATTTTTCTGTAGGGCACATGTGTTCACCAGAGTGAGAGAGAGAGAAAAAGTGAGAAAACAAGCTGCCACATCTGGGACTCGAACTGTGGTTGGCCATGCGGGAGTCCAAAAACAAAATAATAATAATAAATAAAATTAAATAAATAATTCTTTTTTTTGAGAGAGAGATTTTTGCTATAGGGCATGTGTACTCACTGGAGAGACAGAGAGATACAGAGGTAGAGAAAGTGAGAAATCACTCTTCCACCCATGGGCAATGACAATGAAGCAATCCCTTCTCTTCCATTCTCCTCTCAGGACTTTGGGCACACATACACATGTGCCTGGCATGAGTTTCTTTGTTTGTTTTGAGAGTTTTTTGCTATAGGGCGTGTGCACTCACCAGAAAGACAGAGAAAGACAGAGAGACAGAAAGCAAGAAATCACCCCCTAGGGGGGGTGGCCATGCCACAATCCTTCTCCTCTATTCTCCTCTCGGGGTCTTGGGCATGCACGCACACGCGCCCGGTATGAGTTTAAGCCACCGGTCCAGGACTCGAACCATGGTCGGCTACATGGGAGTTCAGCGACATAGCCATTATGCTAACTGCTGGTCCCCCTGGCATGAGTTTTAAGTCAGCGGATCCAGGACTCAAACAGTAGTTGGCCACATGCGAGTCCAGTGTTTTAACCACTGTTCCACCTGCTGGCCCCAATAAGTAATTCTATTTTTTTTACAGCATGTTGCTCTTTTTTTCAAAGAATTATTTTATTTAACCTTATTTATTTATTTTAATTTTGCCTAGAGAGGGACAGAGCATGCACATGTACTCATGAGAGAGAGAGAGAGAATGAGAAAGCAAGCCACCAGGTCCAGGACTTGAACCACAGTTGGCCATGTTGGAGCCCAGCACCCTTAACCACCATGCCACCTGCCAGTCCCCCAATAAGTAATTCTTAACAACAACAATAAAAGAAATGCCTGGGATTGTGACACTATGGGAAATTATTAAACATTCTCTTTCTCTAAAGCATCTTTATTTGCTTTCAGTTTCAGGTGTGCTAGTTGTTCAATGGCTAAGTAATTACAAAATATGAATGAGAATATAATTATTATACATGAGAATTACATTTTTCAATTAGTCCCATCCTATGTTTCTAGCATCTGAGCCCTAGTTCAAATCCCAGCTATTTCAAAGCCACTCTTTAACCAATTCATATCACACACTTTTAATCCTCTTCTGTAATCCTTTTATGACATAACTTATCACCCGTGATTCGTCTTCCTTGTATTAAAGATATTAGAGTTGTTATATTAGCTTCCTGGCTAGATTAAATTCTTTACAATAGAAGCCATGCCATGTTTATCTTTATGTGGTCTGTAGTATCTCATAGAGTGAGATAAGGCCTGTGTGAACTCTGAAAACTCTTAAACATGCCTAATACTAACCAGGTGTGTATTTTATAAGTTGCCTTATTGGTTAGAAATGTATTTTATGTTCAACCTAGGAACTATTTAAAAAGTGTACTTTATGTTTTGAGTACATTTGTGCAGTCATTTGTGAAAAAAATTGTTCTTTTTGGTTCATTTCACTGACTTCTGCTTTTTTAGTGTGTAGATGGGGTCTTAGGAGGTGAAGACTATAACCAGAACAATATTAACCAGTGGACTGCGAGCATAGTGGAACAGTCCTTAACACATCTGGTGAAGCTGGGAAAAGCTTATAAGTATATTGGTATGTATCTGTGTCCTTCCTCACTAGTTCCCTCATCTTTGTCCTTGTGATTTTTCTCTGAATTTTGAGAATGTATATGAATGACAGATGCTTAAGTTGGATATCAATTGAATATGAAGGACTTCTGACTTATTCAGAGTTAAGCTTTAATAATACCTAAAAGATGGAGATCTTTCATTACTCAAAAGTAGTTTATTTGTCCTTGGCAGCATCACCCTTTGCATTTGCAGCAATTCTCTTTGCCATTTTTGGTTTTCAGAGCTCTGGACTCCAACACTTCCATTTTAGCTCTTTTACCCTTTGTCTGTAAATATCCTCACTCTCTGGCTTTATTTGTAGTGACCTGTGCAGTGGTCCAGAAGAGCGCTTATGGCTTTCACACTGCCAGGTCATGTTTTTGGGATACCACATCTGACGGTAAGAGACCTTAACTTGATTCACACAAAATTCAACTTCTAGTAAAGCCAAACGGTGCACTTTTAATCAAGTGCTTATGTAGCTCTAATATGGTCTGAAAAGACTATCAACGGAGTTGCTTTGTACCTAATAACAAGTATACCTTCACACCATTATGAAATGTAAAGATGTAAAAGATTGACGAGAATAGATATTAAAACGCGTGAAAAATATATATACGAATATACCTGGAAATTTTTGCTGCTATTTCAAAGTCCTTTTGTGTATGTGCTTTCAGGAACCTGTACCGTGAGATGGGAGAACCGAACCATGAACTGCATTGTCAATGTTTTTGCCATCGCAATTGTTCTGTAGCTGGCTAAAAATGTCAGACTAAAGCTGTTAACTTAACAATGTGTTAGTGTATCCTTTCCAAAAGGAGTAATAGTTACTTATTAATGCGTTAGTTGGCCAGTGTGTAATATGCTTCAAAGCTATCAACAACAAATTGATATTATAAGCAATTTCATAGTAAGTTGGCAGATTGTCTCCTATTCTTTACAGCATCATTTAAACAGAATCAACTGAATATTAGCAAAAAGTAAATGCAGAAATGTGGCATGACATGAAAATACAATCTTGCACTTATGCCGGCTTTTCACTAACATTATGTACCTAAGAGATGGGAGAATTCATTCAGATCGCCAATTGTCTTTCAGCTAAAGAAACGAACATGGATAATAACCAAAAAGCTACAAGGATAGATGTGGAGAAAATGATATGAAGTAGCTAACATCTTGTAGTGTTTTTATTTCTTCTGCTCACTTAGTGTTGCATAATATCTAGTGGAAAGTAATTGTTTTACTCCTGTCAACTAATAGTACAGTAGCAACTATGATTAACTTGTTTACTTTTTCTGAGAGTTGGTAAATCTTTTTTTTTTTTTCAAATTCTTGAATTTACACTTGAGGACAAAATAAATCTGGTAACCTGAATTTTGTAGTTAAGCAAAATTAGGTACAGTGTATGTTAAACAGTGTATGATTCAAACAACTGCCTTACAATTCACTCATTCCATGTGGAACAAACACATTGAATGCCTGTTAGGAGCATACGTCTCTGCTAGGCAATGCAGTTATCATCAACGTGCAATCCAAATGCTAGGTTCCTTTTGACAACTGTTCAGGTGGAAAACTAGCATTTATGTATGGGGAAGAAAAAAAGTTGTTTTACAAAAGAAAAATAAATAAATCTGGTTATTCATGTAGAAGTAAACAAAATGAAAAGCACTTATTGCTGACTGAATTATAAATGTAATTTTAAGAGTTGCTCCTAGCAAGTTAATAATGTATAAAATATGCAACTCTTAGTTAAAGGCCTTATTAGTAGTCTTAACTATATAAGTAAATATTATCATACCTATTATGTGGGGTTCAAATTGAGTGGAGTAAAGTATAAGTTAAAACTGTATAATCATTAGCAGGTTACTTAATATCTCAGGGCTTATGAAATGTAGTTAAGAAAAAAAAAGATGGAAAATTAGGGTACACAGCTGACCACCAAATGCGAAGTCAATCTACTATTTAACCTTGAAAACAAACCCAATTTTGCATATTACCCCTAACAAACACTAATACGTACAAAGTGGACTCATGATTCATTGCATTTGGTGGGGGAAGAAAAGCTTGGTATTAATATTGGCAATATTAAGGCAGTATTCTTATAAGAATACTATGCACATGTTTGATATTTTGCTGACTAATAATTGTCAATGTTTAAAAAGAATGTTAAGAAAATACAACAATAGAGTTTTATGCAGTGATCTATATTTTTGGCCCATCATGAATTCTCAGTCGTTACATTTATGTTACTTTATGCTGCTGGCTTTTGTGTCCTTAAGGATTATAATAGTGACCAAAACATCTGTGCAGTTAAGGCTTGTTTCTTCTTCTTCTTCTTTTTCTTTTCTTTTTTTTTTTGTTTTTGTTGAAGCCTGAATACAAAGAAAAAAAAGATCAAATCATACCTCGTGAACTTGCTATCTGCTGTTTCTAGTTAAAATAAAGATTATCTTCCTGTGTGGTACTTTTGCTTCTGAATTGTTATTCAAAAGTTGGAGAAATGGCAGTATTCTTACTGTAAGAAATTCAAAAGAGGAAAAATGAATAAGAGGAATGAGTATTGGGGGACCAGCAGATGACATAATGGTTATGTCACTGGGCTCCCACATAGTCGACTGCGGTTCGAGTTCTGGACCTGGTGTCTTAAACTCATGCCGGGTGTAAGTGTGTGCATGCATATGTGTGCCCAAGATCTAGAGAGGAGAATGGAGGAGATGGGGAGAAGGGACTGTCATGTGGCCATTCCTCCTTGGGGGATGATTTCTCACTTTCTGTCTCTCTATCTCTCTGTCTATCTCTGTCTTTTCCTGTGAGTGCACACACCCTATAGCAAAAACCTCTCCAAAAAAAACAAAAGAAAGAGAGAGAGAGAGAGATGAATATTTAGACCCATACATACATACATATATATTACACAGAATAAATACCATCAAAACAGCAACTGAAATTCGGTAAACACCATTACAACATAATTCACAGTGTCTACTTTATGCCCTTTATATTATGATTTTCGCACAAAATTTTATTTTAAAAGTCATTGGAAAATACATTTTATAGCTATTTATTAGCTTTTAATGATTACTTCTGGCAAATAATTTGATCGTATTTGTCAGCTTGCTCTTGAGTTGTTGCTTTGTTTTTCCTTAATTAAGGACTTTAAGTATGTAAAATTAGGGTATTCAAATTTAAGTGCTAACTTGGATTTCTGTAAAGCTGTAATTTTATGTTTGCAAAGTACTAGTATGTGCCTAAATGATGACATCTCATTACATTTTCTCTAGTAAAAAGTACTTTGCTCTTCCCGAATTGGGTGTTAGCTAATTATGAGTCATTGAACGTATTTTCACCACCTATATTCATCATTATGTTTTAAAAATAATCTTAGGATGTATAGAATAACATTTTCAAAGTTTGAGGCAAAGGAGTCTATTCTTGACAAGTCTTTTTTTTTCTCTTAATGTAGGAAAAAATGTGTGGCTCTTTTTTTTTTTTTTTGGAGAGGTTTTTGCTATAGGGTGCGTGCACTCACCAGAAAGACAGGGAGAGATAGAAAGCGAGAAATCACTCCCCGGGGTGGATGGCCACACCGCAATCCCTTCTCCATTTTCCTCTTGGGATCTTGGGCATGCACACACACGTGCCCAGCATGAGTTTAAGCCATTGGGTCTAGGACTCAAACTGCGGTCGACTACATGGGAGTCCAGCGACATAGCTATTACCCCAACTGCTGGTCCTGAACTGATTTTTCTAATACATGAGTACAATGTATAATGATCAAATCAGGGTTAATTACCAATGTTAATTAGCTCAAACATTTCTCACTACTTTGTGTTAGGAATGTTCAAAATGATCTCTTCTGGATATATTGAAGTGCACAGCAAACTATCATGAACTATATCCATCCTACTGTGCTATGGAACTCTAGAATTTAAAAAAATTTTTTAAAGAGATTTTTGCTATAGGTTGTGTGCATTCGCTAATGAGATAGAGATAGACAGAAAGTGAGAAATCACCACCCAGGGGGGATGGCCACACTGCAATTTCTTCTCCTCCATTCTGTCAGGATGTTGGGCACGCATGCATGCATGCCCAGTGTGAGTTCTAAGCTGCCATGGTCAGTTATGTGGGAGTCCAGCGATGTAACCATTCTACCATCTGCTGGTCCCGGGATCCTATAATTTATTCCTCCTATCTAACTGTAATTTTGTACGCCTCTCCATCCTCCTCCATGCACCCATACCCTTTCAAGTCTCTGGAATTCACTGTTCTACTCTCTACTGTTAGGAGGTCAAATGCTTTAGCTTCCACAAATAAGTGAGTACATGTAGTGTTTCTCTTCCTGTGCCTAGCAGCTCACTTCATGTAACATGATGTTCTTGAAGACTTATCCACATTGTTGCAAATGACAGGACTTCATTCTTTATGGTTGAATCACATTCTATTGTGTATATATACCACACTTTCTTTATCCATTCATCTGTTGATCATTTTTAAATAACAGTTTTAAAAAAACAGAACCAAGGGAACCAGCAGTTAGCGTAATGGCTATGTCGCTGGATTCCCACATAGTCGACCGCGGTTCGCGTCCCGGACCCGGTGGCTTAAAGCTCACTCCTGGCTTGTGTGCGTACGTGTCCAAGATCCCGAGAGGAGAATGGAGGAGAAGGGATTGCAGCGTGACCATCCCCCCTGGGGGGTGATTTCTCGCTTTCTGTCTCTCTGTCTCTCTCTGTCTGTCTGGCGAGCGCACGCGCCCTATAGCGAAAAAACCTCTCCAAAAAAAAAAAAAAAAAAAAAACCAGAACCGATTGGTAGATGCCAGGGATAAAAGTTAGTGAGGAAGAGGGAAGGAAGGGGGAGGGAGAGAGGTAGGGGTGGCTATAAAAAGGTAACACAACCTTTCTGGTGTTGGAACTTTTCAGTATCTTGGCTGTGGTGGTAGATAAACCTACACATGTGATAAAACTAAATACATACTCACATAAATACAAGTAAAATTGGAAAAATCTAAATAAAATCAGTAGGTTTTATTAGTATTAATATCCCAGTTGTGACATTGTACTCTACCTAGTTTTGTAAAATGTTATGGTGGGGGGACTGGGAAAAGACACAAAGCATTTCTCTTATTTCTCGCAATTGCATATGAATCTATAATTATATCAATAAAAATTTCAATTAAAATGCACATGAATAAAGAGACTCTCTTACAAAACCTGTTTAAAATGCAAATCAACATTTGTTTGGTTTTATGATTTAAATTCTCTACAGACTATGCACCCCCTTATTGCATGCACCCAGGGAGGACCACTTGCACTACTCTTCTTTGTATACCACCAGTTAGTAACACGGTAAGAGAGAAAGAGTGAGATGCCAGAATAGCCACGCTCTATTGCATGTGGAAAAACTGTGTCAACAGGGAGCTGGACGATAACATATATGGTGTCAGAAAAATTAGCTGTCAGAAACAGAATTCACCTTTATTTTTTTAAACCCCATGTCAGCATAAAGTAATTTAGTATGTATGTATCATATTGGAAGTTATGTGTTAAAATTGAAATGTAAAAACCAACAGAAATGGGAACATTTTATTCTTAATTTTACCTTTTGTATTTTATCCCTTTCATGTGAATCCAACATTTTTCTTTAGTCCTAATGTGTCAGTATTTTATTTCTCTTTGTTTTATACAGTAAAGAATCTAGCTTAGATTTCCTTAACTGGGAACAACATATAGTTCTGTTTAGTTTTTAGTTTTGTGTTGAAGAAACAGCTGTTCATAAATGTAGGTACTTTCAAACATGCATAAACATTTTGCAAAATTACCCAGGGTAACTCCTCCAGAGGCATTTACAGCAACTGGCTGCTTAATGTCATATTTAAGTTGCAACACTTCATTTATAAGTCCCATTTATTACACTTCATTCACTCTATCATTGGTGATAGAGAACAGTAGATCTAAAACAATTAGAAAGCTTGTTTTAGAATTTGGTTTTCAACTACCTACCATTTGAGTAATGTGGGTCGAGTCATCACTTTCAATCCCACTTGTAATTTCTGTATAAGAAAATGGGTCAGATTATTCCTTTTTTTGTTTGTTGTTTTGTTTTATTCTTTTCTTTTTTTTTTAAAAAAATGCTATAGGGACCATGTGCTCACTAGAGATGAGAGAGAGAGAGACAGAGAGGCAGAGAGAGAGACAGAGAGAGAGAAAGCACCTCCTAGGGGAGATGGAACACTGCAATCCCTTCTCCATTCGCCTCTCAAGATTTTGGACATGCGCACATGCTTGCGTGTTTCTCAGGCTGCCACATTCAGGACTCAAACTGTGTAGTCAGCCTTGTGGGCTCTAGCTTCCTTACTCATTATGTCATCTGGCTGACCCTGTTTTTGGTTCTTTTTAAAAAAATTCTCCAGCCAGTTCTAGCAAATGGTAATATTTTGTTATATTTATTTCTGATTATTTTCTCCTAAAAAAATTAGATAAAACATTACAGTTAACAGATGAAAACTTCTCTATGCCCCAATTTCCATTTGTAGCTCCTTTCCAGAGCTGATCATTACCATGAATTTGATGATTAACATTTCTTGGCATGTTTTTATATTATTAAAATTTGCATGCATTAATAAAAATGTATGTTTTTTATGCTGTCATACTTGATAAAAAAGAGTACTATACAGGGCCAGCAGGTGCCATGTGGACTCCCACGTGGCTGACCATGGTTCGAGTCCCAGATCCAGTGGCTTGAAACTCATGCCAGGTGTGTGTGCTTATGTGCCCAAAATCCCAAGAGAAGAGGAGAGGAGAAGGGATTGCAGCATGGCCATTTACCTGGGGGATGATTTCTCATTTTTTCTCTCTGTCTCTCTCTGGTGAGCGCACACACCCTATAGCAAAAACAAAAACAAAAACGTAAACAAAAAAGTACTGTACTATGTATAATTCTGAAATTTTTTCCCCACTGAACATTATAATTTGGAGGTTTAGCTCTGTTGATACACATACTTTATGTCTTTCATTTTAATTGATGCATACAATTCCAGTGTATACATTCACCCACTTTCCTGTGAGACAGACTTATACTTTTTCCACTTTTTCACTGTTACTAACCATGCCACACTGGCCAGTTTTAGACAAGTCTTCTTGTTGACATATGTGAGTTTCTCTAGAGTACATAGCTACACATTGCTAAATCTACAGATGTAAGTATCTTATCCGTTTTAAATTCAGTGTAATGCAAAGGTGCCCTCTGAAGTTATTGTACCATTGTATTTTTGGAATGAGAAGTTACTCTTTCTCCATATCCTTACCAATATTTGGTATTACTAGACTTTTGCATTGTTGTCAATTTGATAGTTATCTTCCCATAGCTGCATTTCCCTAATTACAAGTGTTACTAATGATGTTAATATCTTCCATATGTCTTGCTGTGTGTTTACTTTGAATTGACTGGTTATCCACTAGTTTATTTTT